TAGGGTTTAGGGTTAAGAGCTTAAGGCTGATAGAGGCGGAGGCTTTAGGAAAGCTGTAGTGCATCGGGTTCAGGGTTTAAGGTTTAGGCTCGAAGTTGTCACAACTCCGGGTTTTGGAGTCTTCCTTTTGTAGGATGCAGAGGGAGATGAAAGACCCTAAACCCTAAACCCCATGCGGTGGTATAAGGGTCGGCATACTTGGTAACTTTCTGGTTGCTGACTTTTCAGATTTCTGATATGAGTTTAAGGTGTCTTCAGTGACCCACCTCACCTCACATCTGGGTCCCCTGTGATTGTTTGAAAGAATTTGCTTAGATGCTACATAAGCCCTAAACCCTAATCCCTAAACCGTTGCAGCACCTGCTTGGTTTTTGTGGCTTCTGCTTTGATTCAGACGGGGATTGATCCAAGAGCATCTCTGCCTGGCGTCGAATCCTAGAGGTCGCAGGGGCTGAGTGGGCAACCTTTAACCTTTGCGGTATATTGATACCACAAAACCCTAAAACCCTAAACCCTAAACCCTAAACCCTAAGCCCTAAACCCTAAACCCTAAACCCGTTAACTTTTTTGTTTGGCTAGGGTACTCAGCTCCTGCGAGGGCCTTTTTAGAAGCGGTTGGCTCTGGCGCCATAAACCGCTAAAGCCCGACCCCCGGAACAGGAACCATTGCATTACAAGTGGGTTTAGGGTTTAGGGTTTAGGGTTTAGGAACCATTGTACTACAAGTGCAAAAAGACGATAAAGGGACTGCCATTCATCAGTCAAGCCCCTATAGTTCAGAGACCTTAAAGCCAGCAACCATAGACAGATGCCCAACATGAACTTGAACAGCTGTAAACGCTGCTGCTAGATTAAAGCTGGGTTTTGGTTTTGGGGCTTCATAGTAGACCCCATCTGCTCGGTAGCAAAATGATCTTTTTTCGGTAGCTTCGGCCGCAAGCGTTCAAGGGGCTCTAATGGCAGGTTTTCTGGGCAGTGAGGGTTTTGTAATTATGAAAGGATTGTGTAGGGTTTCCCGAAGTTCAGAGCGCTCGACGCCATGCCTTCGAACTGAGTTCCTACACCCTAAACCCTGAACACAACAGTGCCAAACCCAAAGCCCTAGTAGACCCTGACCCTAAACCCGAATCCCTAAACCCCTGCACCAGGCGGGTCCGTTACAGCTTCGGCGGACAGAAAGGGCCCTTACACTTAACAAAAAAACCCTAAAACCTCCAACGAACCCTACGCAATAAGCCCTAAACCCTAATTAAACACAATAGGCCCTACGCCCCAAACCCAAAGCGTTAAACCCTAAAGGCAATAAGCCCTAAACCCTAACCCGTCAACCCTAAACGTGATAAGCCCTACACCCTAAACGCAATAAGCCCTAAACCCTAAGCCCTAAACCCTAAACCCTAAGCCCTAAACCCTAAACCCTAAGCCCTAAACGCACTAAGCCCTAAACCTTCATCTCCCCAAAGCCCTTCTAAAAAAGGACCAGAAGTCCCTGAGCGACGTGACCATGGACTGCAAGCAGGAGGTCGCCGACTACCAGGAGGAGCCTCGGGGTGCCCTTTTTAAGGGGGTTCCCTAGACCCCTAAACCCCTAGAGCCCTAAACCCTAAACTCTGAACCCTAAACCCAGAACCCTAAACCCCTAAACCCCTAAACCCTAAACTCTAAACTCCTTTCCTTTAAGGGTTCTTTTTTAGCGTTTTGGGCTTAGGGTTCGATAAAGGTGCTATAAGGGTTCGGGTTTGGGGTTGCATAAGGGCTCTGTACAAGTTCTACAAGGGGTTTAGGGTTTAGGGTTCTTTTTTGGGTTCTAGAGTCTTACCATGGTTCTACACGGTTTTTAACAGGGTTTAGGGTTTTGCGATTTGGGGTTTGGCATGTAGGGTTTGACGTTCACGATCTGCGGGTCGGGGGGAGGAGTCCAGGTGGGGTGTACTCATAGGCTCTATAGTACCTGAACATAAACCACAAAAAGGAACTACAAGGTAGCGGAATGTGTAGGCAAGTAGGGCTTTGAGGTACATCCTTAAACCTAAGCCATCAATTTTGCACACCTTAAATTCATAATTCCGGAACCCAAAGCCCTAAACCCCGAAGCCCCAAACCCAAATGCTGATACTACAAAACCTAGATTCTGGAGAACCCTTCTAAAACCCTTTCAATTCGTGGGTGAAACCCGTAGAAACCACCGTGAAACCCTCTAGAACCCTTACAGTAGCCGTTGTATTCGCAACCTTGGCAGGACCCACACAATAGCAACCCTTATGGCAAGCCTTAAGGAAACTCCACTAAAACCCAACACCCTAAACCTTTTAGGGTTCGGTTTGAGCGGTGCAGGAAGGGTTGTTGTGGCTTTGGGGTGTTAGGCTTTTGGGTGTTAGGGGTTAAGGTGCTAGGGTTTTTTGTGTTAGGTTTCAGGCTGCTGGATTTCTGATTTTAGGGTTGGAGGTGCCAGGGTTTATGTTTCTGCTCTGGGGTGCGTGGGTTTTCTGAAGGTGTCAGGGTTTTCCATGGTTTTGGTTTTAGGGTTGTAGGTTGGGAGGGTTTTGTTGTTAGGGTGGTAGGATGTTAGGAGACGGGTGTTCGGTTTAGGTTTTTGGGGTCGAGGGTTTGGGGCTTGGGGTTTGGTGCTAGCACTTTGCACTTTTTGTTTGTTCGGTTTCCAAAAGCTGACCAAGACAATAGAAAAGATCCCGTTGAGGGCTCCGGCAGGAAATACATGAATCCTTGTCCATCAAAGATTGGGAAGTGCTCGTTCATGCAAGGATAGTGCGGTCTGCGACCCTAAACCCCAAACCCTCAACCCTAAACCCTAAACCCCGAAACCCTAAACCCTAAACCCCAAACCCCTAAACCCTAAACCCCAAACCGTGCAGCTTTTGCCCTGCAAGCGGCGGGTCCGGTTTAGGGTTTAGGGAATTTGGGTTTAGGGTGTCGGGCTTAGGGTCCAGGGTTTAGGGTTTCCAACGCCTCCCTCGCCTTCTGCCAGTGCGCACAGTGCAGACAGTTGCAGGAGTGCGGGGGGTGGTTTTGCCCGTGTGCTCTCACCGCCAGTGGCTTCTGCCTACGTGTCCAGCAAGAGGCACAAGAGGACCATGTGCTCGCGCCCCCCGATAGAAACCAAACAAAACCTTATTGAGCCCTATAGCCTCAAACCCAAACCCCAAGACCCTAAACCCTTAGGCAGAAAGACCCTACACCCCTCAAGGCACAGTTTCCATTGCTGTTGTCTTCCAGCCGGCCCCAGATAGAAGCCTCTGCGAGGAGACCAAAAGCCGTGGGCTTGAGCAGGAAGCTCTGACGGCTGCCAAGGCTTCTTTTCGGGGAGGGGGTGGGGGGCTAGGGCTTGGAGTTCGGGTTTCGGGTTTCGGGTTTAGGGGCTTGGAGTTTCAGAGGTCGCGTGACGAAAGCCATGAAGCCCCAAGCACTGAGCCCACAAGAAAGGCCGTAAACTCAACGCGATCCCTGAATCCGAAGCAGCACGCAACTGAACCCTATATCGTTAAACAGCCCCACAAGCCCTAAGCGCTAAATCCCACAACCTAAATCCTCAAACCTTGTGGGAACCCTTGCAGGTACCCCTAGCCACTAGAGGGACCCTTAAAGAAACCCTTACAGGACCGTAGAAGACCTAAACCCTAAACCCTAAACCCTAAACCCTAAACCCTAAACCCTAAACCCTAAACCCTAAACCGTATCATTCCCTCCCAGGATTTCATTATGGCTCTTTTTTGGGCCATGGTTCGGTGCATCATTTTCTTATGATTTCTGCATCTTTCTGCCATCCTACGTTTCTGCAGGGTCCATATTGAGAGCCTATAGAACAGCAGGCGATGGTAGCTGACGGAGGATCTAAACGTCCTGAACCCAGCCAACCCCAAAGAGCTCAGCGCCCCAAAAGCCGAGAATCCTCGAGCCTTAAACCCTAAACCCTCAACCCTAAACCCTAAACCTTAAACCCCAGCGTACTTTACGGACATATTCACCCAGGTCCCACCGTGTCCCACCGACGAAGCCCCAAAACCCTGAACAAAGAGTGTCTGCGGATTTGGGGCTTAGTGGTTTCGGGGTTTAGACTTTGGGGTTTAGGGGTTTAGGGTTTAGGGTTTAAGGGTGTAGAAGGGGAGGGGCAGAAGTTTTTCCGGCTCAGGTTGGGGACTGGTCTTTAGAGTTTAGGAGTTCAAGGGTTAAGGTGGTTAGAGCTTTGGCGTTCAGAGTTTAGGACTTTGAAGGGTTCAGGGGTTTGGGGGTTAGGGTTGTAGAGTTCAGGAGTTCAAGGGTTTAAGGGGTTTAAGGTTTCAGCATGTAGGAGTTTCAGGGCCTATATGTCAAGGGGAAGCCGTGGAAGCATGAGGCGGCGCTGATGGAATCTTCCGGCCTCTCTTTCCTTCAGCTGGCTTCGAAGTCCACTATCAAGAGCAGCCAGGCTGGGTGGGGGGTGGGGTAGCGAGTGCTCATTGGAAGCCCAAACTTGTCCTTGCGAGAAAGCAGGGAAATCTTGTAAAATCCTTTCACAATAGGATCCCATCGGGTCGGGTGTTTGACGGTCAGGCAGCAAAAAGTTTCAGAGTTTGCATTGCTTGGTGTGGGTTACTGGTTTCAGAACATAGTGGTGCCCTCACTAGTGCCCTGAGACCACATACAAAAGCATCCTATATCTGAGGACAAGGTCCTCTATAAGGAGGATGCTCGCGAATTGCAGATCTCTTGAACCGTAGATGCCGTTCGTCGAGCCCTCTGTGTCATGCGGTGGTTCCGCCGGGCCTCGGTTAAACCCCTAATCACTGAACCCCACACCCAAAACCCCTAAGCCCCTCTCCCATTCTCTCTGTTTTTTTTTTTGTGTGTGGGGGTTGACAGCTAGCTATCGACTACTCTCAACGAGCAACAGCAGGACCTCAAGCACTTCGAGGTGGTCCGCATGGTGCGCACGCTCGGCAGCTAGGCATCGAACAAAAGCTTTGGAGACGCCACACCTCGAACCACAACCTCAGAACCCTAAACCCTAAACCCTAAGCCCTGTAAACCCTAAACCCTAAACCCCAAGCTAAAACCCACCCAAAACCCTGAACTTGAAACCCCAAACCCTGAACCCTAAACCCGTGTAGCTCCCTTTACAGATCTCGCAAAGAACCCTTAAAGGATCCCAGAAAGCACCAAGATCTCACAAAGCCTCGTCCATCTTAATGTTCTGCTAAGAGTTTAGGAGTCTAAGGGTTTAGGGTTTAGGGTTTTAGGTTTAGGGTTTAGGGTTTAGGGTTTAGGGTTTTAGGTTCAGAGTTTAGAGGGGTTAAAGCTTTTTTACGGGTTTCGGGCCTGAACCCGCACCCTGGTGTTTCGAAGTTTAGGCTTTGAGGGCTTCGGAACTTTTAACTTTTGGGTGTCGAGGTCCCTGAACCCCAAGCCCCAAGCCCTAAACTCTAAACCCCTAAACCCTACACCCCTAAACCCTAAACCCTAAACCCTTAACCCTAAACCTCAAACCGTAAACCCTAAACCCTAAACCCCAAGCCCTGAAACCCTGGAACCTAAGCCCTCAACCCTACAACCTACTCCCTACACCCAAAACTCCCCCCAAAAACCGTAGCTTTCGCAGGCCTCAAACCCTAAACCCTAAAGCCTTATGGCACCCTTAAAGGAGCCCCTCGTACAGCCTAACATCATAAGTATAGTATGGTCTATGCCAACACCGTAGTCTACCCACTGAGCTCTTATCCCGAAATTTTTATAGCTATAGTGCAAAAGGTCCGACAGCCCCATTCTAACGATTAAGATCCTACAGCAGGTATTTTTGAACAGTTCAGCCTTCTTGGTTCGTGGGTAGTTTTAAGAGGCTTATACAAACCCAAATCTAACATGGGGGTTTCAGAAAATAGGGGACCCTAATATAGCACCCTAAATAGTAGGATCCTTATTATAAGGACCCCCAAATAAGGTACCCCTTGTTTTTGGAAACTCCCACATGGGCTACAGGTCGAGCCAACGGCAGACTCCTCCAAGGAGGTCGAGGCTGCAGACTCCTCGAAGGATGAGGCCCAAGAGCGCAGCGGCTACCTCCGACTGCTTAAAGGATCATGGGACTTTGTAAGTAGGGTTATAACTAAGGTAACTATACTTGTAACCCCAATTAGGGGACTTATAACCTTACTTACTAAGTCCCCTGATCCTTTAAGTGAACGTCGCCTGCTCTTCACCGGGCCAGCAGGTCGGCCTCTGAGTGCCCATGAATGGAGAGAGTACAGCCTCCCAGCTGGACCTCTGCAAAGGGCGGAGCCGACTAGCAAGGCTCAGGAGGCTCTACTTAAAGGATCATGGGACTTAGTAAGTAAGGTTATAAGTCCCCTAATTGGGGTTATAAGTATAGCTACCTTAGTTATAACCCTCCTAATTGGGGTTATAAGTATAGCTACCTTAGTTATAACCCTACTTACTAAGTCCTATGAGCCTTTAAGCACCTCCAGCGAGATGGAGGCGAGATCGAGCTGCACCTGGAGGATCTTCGGATGGTATTTGCCAAGAGCTGCAGCGATGTTGCACTTTGTGGCAAGACGCATGTGGGTGGTTGTCAAAATTATGGTCCCTTTTTGGGGTACCCCAAATAATAGGTGCCGTATTATAATAAGGACCCAAAAAGGGACCATAATTTTGACAACCACCCATGTGAGCATTCTTGCAGCCCTTTGCCTGTTGAGAAGATGGACAGCAGCTGATGAAGAAGCTTGTGGGTGTTCAGAAAGCACTCGGCAGTCTATGCGCCAAGCTCAAGGCCGAGATTGCTCCAGGAAGTGAGTATTTTGGCCTCCGAGCCGTTGCAGAATTACACTACTTGTGACCTCCAAATATAGCCTAAGCCCTAAACCCTAGACCTTGAATCCACTACCCATGAACCTCCAAGCAAGGTCAGCAGTTGAAGGACCATCAGCTTGTCCTGCTCTCCCGCCGCATGGCCCCTTGGAGCGGCATCCCAAAGCCCTACCTGAACCTCCGAACGGTTTAGGGTTCAGGGTTTGGGGTTTACGGTTTAGGGGTTTGGGGGTTGAGGGGTTTGGGGGTTTAGGGGTTTAGGGTTAAAGGGTTTAGGGTTTAGGGGTTTAGGGTTTAGGGGTTAGGGGCTAGAGTTTAGGGGTTAGGGGTTTAGGGGTTTAGGGGTTTTAAGGGTTTAGGGTTTCGGGTTTGGGGTTTAGGGTTTAGGGTTTATGGCTAAGGAGTCTTATAATAAGTTCAAAAGGCCTCTTGGGGGTTGAGTTGCACCCTGAACCGTCATCCCTAGCCCTAGCGCTTTCCGGAAGTCTTCTCGCCGGCATCGTGCAGCTGGGTTTGGGGTTTTGGCAGCTTTGTCCGAGCTGAATAGTTACCCTAAGCCTTAAGCCCTAAACCCTAAACCCCAAGCCTTAAGCCCCAAACCCTAAGCCTTAAGCCCTAAACCCTAAGCCTTAAGCCCCAAACCCTAAGCCTTAAGCCCTGAACCCTAAGCCTCCCAAAGCCTTAAGACCAAAACCCGAAGCCTTAAGCCCTAAACCCTAAACCCCAAGCCCTAAGCCCCAAACCCTAAGCCTTAAGCCCTAAACCCTAAGC